GGAGGAGGCGGCGGCGGGGGGAGGTACCTGGCTGCCGCCGTTGGGCAGCCGCGCTCCGCCGGGCACCGCGCGGGGATGGGCCGGCGAGCGGGGCCCGGGGCGGCGCCGCCCGGCAGCGAGCGGGGTGTGCGAACCCGGGCGGCTCCTGCCGAAGGGGAGAAGGGGCTTGCGGCGGGACGGTGAGAGGTCTGCCTCGCCTCGCCTCGTGACGAGGGCAAGAAGATGCCAAGAGGAGGATGGTGCCCGACTCTTTTGAGTGGTACCCAGCAACAGAACAAGGAGCAATGGCCATAAACTAAACCACAGAAAGTTCCACCTCCACACGAGGAAGAACTTCTTTATGTTGAGGGTGGCAGAGCACTGGAACAGGTTGCCCAGGGAGGTCGTGGAGTCTCCCCCTCTGGAGACACTCAAAACCCGCCTGGACACGTCCCTGTATCACCTGCTTTCGGTGACCCTGCCTTGGAGGGGGGTTGGACTAGATGGACTCCTAGTAATTCTGTGGTTCTGTGAGGTGAGAAGGGCAGTTGCTGTGCGTGGCCGGAAAGTCGGGAGCCCCGGGAGCTGTAGAAACTGTAGGTGTAGCAGATTGTGGCCCTGATACTGGCTGAGGGCTGGGGGCAGCAGGCTTTTGACCGGCAGTAGTTGTTCACGGCTAGGAGGATGTGTGTCTTGGCCCGAGTTCATTGCCGTGGGTTGAAGTACTTAAGAAGTTATCTACTTGAAACCAGTGAGGTACACACTTGCCAGCGCTGAAGTGATATGAAAAAAGATTGCCACGTTTTAAGTCGACACCTGTTTGTTTTTACTTCTGTTTTTCTTTTTTTCCCCTGTGCCTCTGTTGCCCATATCTAAATAGAAATTACATTGCTTCTTCACTTCACATGGTAGCTGCAAAACCAAATCATAAATCTTTTAACATATTATTCTATTGTAGCTACTACTAAACAGGCTATAAGGAAGATAAATTCAGCTTCAGAGCAAGTGAATAAGGGACAGAAAACCAATAAAGTATATGATCACAAATTAGAGCATGAAGATGTAACTAAACAGTGAGTAATCCTAATGTTGAGCAATATCTATGCTGACACACTGAGCACTTTCTATGCTCACAGTGAATACAGTATATTGTAGAGGTTGGAAAAAAAAGTCATAAAACTGAAAAATATATAATGCATGAATACAAATGATTGTGCATTTTCCAGTGCTTGACTTTACAATCATTGTTTCTTAAGAGAGGCTTTTGTCCACTTCAGCTCTTAGTGTTCAAATGGTATAATAGTTAGGCTTTGAAGGACATAAAGCTTTATACTGTAAAAAGATGTGAGGCCAGGAATAAAATTGAATGTACAGCAGGACTGTGTAACAGACAAATGAAACCTTCCGCTACAGGTATGTGTTCTCAAAAGCCTTGTGCTGTGGATGACCTCTGCATGGATAGATTACATGGTAGTCCAAGGAAATACCTTACAAATTTCAGTGCAAGATCAACATGCCTTGTATGTGATCTAGAGCGGATACAAAACTCTTCAGTGGAGCACTGCTGTCACAGGTACATGCTCTTGGTATGTGCATGTGTGAGAGACAGAAGAGACTCTCCCATGTAAAACTAACTGTGTGTTGTTTGTATTCTGGTTCTCTGCTGTGAAGCCAAAATGCAGCACCTGTATTCAGCTCCTTAACTCCACTAACCACAAAGAACAACAAGGACCATCCACTTTCCAATTCCTGAATATCTCGTTTTTATACTATGTGTTTAACTGCTGTTTGGCAGAAAGGAAACTTGGTATGATGTAAAACTACTGAGGAAGGAAAAAACAGAAATAAACCATAGAACATAACAAGTTCAAAGAGCCCTCAAAAACTGGTTTAAACCTTCATTTGTTGCTGCTGATGAAATTGACCAATATTCCAAGCATATAAAATTGAAAAATACATTTGGACAAAACTTAGGCCTAAGAAAATCATGCTGAACAGAGTAGCTCCAGCTATTACTAAGAAAACATTCCCAAAAATATCACATAATACAGTATCGAGCGATCATGAGTGTTTAACATTGACAATCATCAAGAGTTCCTCAGTGATTACTGTGAAAGTCCAATTTAAAAATGGAAGTGCAATTACCAAAATATAGAAATTGATAAAGTCCCTGAAGCAACCACTTGGCCATGTATCAAGCTCTGCCAGCTGGAAATGTACATGGGACAGCGACTGTATTTAGGGCTAGAGGAGCCATTCAAAAAATGCCTGGAATTGTTTGAAGACGGATTTCACCAGAAATTAAGAGATCCAACTAAGATAAAATTAATATGTGGATACAACATTCAGGTAGCAATAACCAACATATTACTGTAAACAGTACTGGAAACAATTCCCAATCAGTACTCCTGGAAACAAGAAAATTTCACAACATTTAAACAAAATTAAAATGTGAGGCAGCGTTCAATGAAATATTTGAATCATATTTCTGAATTTTTTGCAAAAAATATACAATAACGCTCAATCTCCCTAAAAGAAGGTTGGTTCCTAGTAGATAGAATTCTTCAGGATAATTATCTGTAGGCATGATCACACTGCAAGTGTACTGGTAATAGAACAGTTTGGGTTGGAAGGGGCTTAAAAATCATCCAATTCCAACCCAGCTGCCAAGGGCAAGGATGCCTTTGCTCCTCTGGACCAGATTATTCAGAGCCTCATCCTGCCTGGCCTTGAACACTTCCAGAGATGGAAGCATTGAGCATTCCAGAGATAGAGCATTCACAGCCTCTCTGGACAACCTGTTGTGGTGCCTCACCACCCTCTCATAAAATAATTTCTTTCCAGTATCTAATTGAAACACACCTTCTTTTAGCTTAAAGACATTTCCCCTTGTTCTATTGCTATGTGCCCATGTTAAAAGTCCTTCTCCCTTCTTTCTTTATGCCTCTTTAAAGTACTGGAAGGCCACAGTGAGGTCTCCCCTCACTCAAAGTCTGTTCTTTGTCAGGGTGAACAACCCTTTCAGGGCTTTTGTCTGCCCTTTGTAAGGGTGTTTCAGCCTTCAGGTTATGTTTGTGACCTTCCTCTGGACTCTCTCTAACAAATTAATGTCTTTCTTTTCTGAGGACCCCAGAGCCAGATGCAGCATTCCAGGTGGCATCTCACCTGAGCAAGGTATTGGGGGAAAATCACCTTCCTCAACCTGTTGGTCATTTGTCTTTTGATGCATCCCAGAATATGGTTGGGATTCTGAGTTGCAAGCACACGTTGCTGAGACATGTCAGGCTTCTCATCCACTAACACTCCCAAGTCCTTCTCCCAAGGGGTAGTCTTGATCCATTCTGTTCCCTGTCCATCCTGTACTTGCACTTGGGATTGTCCCAACACAGGAGTGGGACCTCCCATTGGGCCTTGTTGAACTTCAGGAGATTTGCACAGGCCCACCTCCCAAGTCTCTCCAGGTCCCTCTGGATGGCATACCTGTCCTCCAGCTTGTCAACCACACGGCAGAACTTGGTGTCATTGCTAAACTCACTGGGTGCACTCAATGCCACTGTCCACATCAGTGATGTTAAACAGCACGAGTCCCAATTTGGACCCCTGAGGAGCACCACAAGCATCCAAGCTTGGAATTGGTTTTTAGGTTTTAAATGCCTCAATTTCTTGCAAGTACTTCTTTCATAGTGAGTGCTTGCCAGATGCATTCATCCATGCTCTGTCTGTGAGCTTTGACTCACTTCTAGTTTATGTTGGTATTTTCAAGTGATAAACAGCTTTAGGGTTTCTTTGTCAAATGCCACACATCACTGGCTTGATACCTGATAAAGGTGTGTAAATAATAGAGGTACCTAGGAAGGGAGGTAGGCTTTAACAAGTCTGCAGGAGGTAGATTGAGCAGCAATGGCAGATCTACCTTAGCAGTCTTGGACCAGATCCTGATACAGCCCTTTATCTGGGTAAGCAGTTTCTGCAGGGAGGAGAGAGCTGTGCTTTTGAGTCTTTAGACAAGCAACAAAACCAGCTGTTGAAATAATCAAAAGAGCCACAGTTGCTGGCAAGTCTAATAATAACCTAGGCCAGACAGTAATTCGTGATCATTTGGCTCAGATCAGAATATACACACACACAGAGACTTTTGCTGCTTGCTTGATGGGCCCAAGGGAAGAAGGAAACAAAGAGAATGAATTGGACCAAATGATTTGAAGTGCAGAAGGAATTAAAGCCATGTGGGATATTCTCTTCAGAAAGTCAAGGAACCAAGCTCCTCTTTTACTTTTCAGCAAATAAACCAATAGAAATTACAAAAAGAAACAAAATGGGAAGAAAAGGTACATGTAGATGCAAGTTGCAGAAGTTGAATTTTAAAAAAAGAACTGGAAAAGAAGGAAAACGCTGTAGTCTAAGGTGGTTGAGAGGAAAGCATCAGCATGTGGCATATGTTGCTCTAAGGCCTTTCATGAAGTACAATGTTTTTGTGTCTTACAGTCAGGATAAAGGAAAAATAATTGCATTCTTCTACTTCAGTGAGAATCTCTGCTCCATACATGTGTGTAGGAATAAAAGGCTTTTGTATATTTTCATAGCTACAATTCTCCAAGAAAAAGAACTTTATTGTCTCAAAAAATCTGCAATTTGATTATTAAGATCTGGAAATTTCTCACTGAAATTTTACTTTATCATATGCATCTTTGCTGTAATGTACATACTTGTAATTTCACAATGGTAGAGTAAAAGAAGGAAATAACTGGATCTTTGTACTCTCTGCTGAATGCTTACAATTAGTTGCTTTGGCAGTTATTGTTTTATAAGTATTTTGTTCTGATTTGCATCTTTGGAATTGC